CAGGTGCTTTTACTTAGGTGTGGGCTTATCCTTGAAGGTGTCATCCTAAAGCTGGACAAAATCCAACACTGTATATTCCAGGATTACTCCTCTTTGGAGAAAAGGTGGGCTTGAAAGTTCTGTGGAGGAAACCCTGGGATTCCATATACTGGCTAGGTGCATCTCGTGAAACTGATTGTTCGCTGGTTTGTGGTTGCGTCTGAGATCAAGTGGAGAAGATCTGAAACTTTAAATGCAGATAAATGGACGGAGGGGAGATCTTGCTGAGCCTAGTTAGGAAAACTTCCAGCAGAAGTGGTTACCTTCATACTGAGTATGCCAAGTTGCAACAGTGGAGTAGCACTTCATGAGTTTGTGCAGTTGTGCTGACTTTATGGAGCTGTTTCTGACCAAAGGATTTGGTCAAACAAGGATTTTTCTTGGGCATGTAGCACCTAGGCCATAAAGGAAGCAGGGTCCTTTCTTAATGTTCTTTCTAGTGTATATATTCAGATGAAAACCTTTGTTGTGTCTAATTGTGGTAGCTAAAGCAGAAGATTTTGATGGGGTTTAATGTAAAAAAGAAAGGAGGTGCTGCTGTGTGAACAGGACTGGGGGACATTGAACAAAGCCTGAGATAGCCTTTCTTACTTTTAGCTATTATATTGCTAAAACAAAGACGTAGCCTCAAGTTGTGGTCTAAGCGTATTTTTTTTCCAGGTAGAGAGAGCAGTATGTTGTGTAAAATCAGAAGAATGAAGGTTTTGATCCATTTTGTGTATTATCTTCTCTCCTAGGCAAAAATAAATAATTAAATAATTAAAACCAAGCAAATATACATAGAGATCTCTAATTCTTACATTATTGCTTTCAAAATGGTGGCATCCTGTAGGGTACGGCGCTCGGAAGATCTCGCGATGTACGGGAAGAATAGGGAACTAAGGCATATGCCATATTAGGTAAAGAGCAACGCTTATTGGCTATGTAGGCATGCTTCCGCCTTTGCTACCTTTATAAGATCCAGCCTGCGTATATTAAACGCCATTTGCAGCATCCTCATATTGGTGTCTGTGCTCTCTGGCCCAGGCACGGGTGGGACGTGCCTGGCCGCCTCGGCAGGCGGCGGCGATTGCCAATGTCAGGCAACAGCATCCCAAGTCCCTGATTTGGCAGCATGTAGTTGAAATGAAGACTCTATTTGCCTCTTAGTGAATGGCTACAGAGGGCTACAGCATTAGGAGCTAGAGGGTTGGATGATTTGAGAGAAAAGTTCAGGCAATGAGTATGCTTCCCATTAAGGGTTATGGCCACCAGAATATTGTTAGTCTGCCTCTGAGAGCCTTCTGTCGTGTGTTTCATAATCTGTTCAGTTAGTTCCTCATCATCATAAGTGATTTAAAAAGTCTAGGTTGGATGGGACCTCTGGAGATCATCTGGTCCAACCATCTGTTGAAAGCAGGACCTTAGATTAGGTTATCCAGGGACCTGCTAAGCCTAGTCTTTGAATATTTCCTGCAAGGAAGATTCCACCACATCTCTGGGCAACCTATGCCAATATTTAATTGTTCTGACACCAAAGTCTTTTTGTTTGTTTGTTTGTTTTGTTTTGTTTTTCCCTCTCTCTTCCAGACAGAATTTCCCTTGAAGCAACTTGTGTCTGTTGCCTCTTGTCCTGTCGCCATGCAGCCTTGTGAAGAGTACCTCCATCTTCTCTGTAACTACCTTTTAGATATTAGAAGAGTGTGATTAGATCCCCACTAAATCTTGTCTTCTCTAGGCTGAACAAACCCAATTCCTTCAACCTTCCTTCATGTGTCAGGTTCTCCAACCCTCTAATCATCTTAGTGGCTCTCTGTTGGACCCTCTCCATTTTTTTCAATCTTTCTCTTGAACTGGGGGGACCAAAACTGGACACAGTATTCCAAGTGTGGTATAACAAGTGCCATATGACAATCAATCACATGCATTGTTCTGCTGAGTATGCTCTTGCTGATGCTACCCAGGACATGGTTTGCCTTCATTGCTACCAGGACACACTGCTGTCTCATGTTCATCTTGCTGCTCACCAGGACCCCCAGGTCCTTTTTAGCAGTGCACCACCCAAGCCAGTTAGACCCCAGCCTGTACTGCTGCTTGGGATTATTCTGTCCCAGGTGTGGGACTTGTCATTTATCTTTGTTAAACCTCATGCAATTCTTGTTGGCCAGACTGCTGAGGTCTTGCTATACAGTGGCTCTTCCTTCTGCCATATCTATCTCTTCTCCCAGTTAGGTGTCATCTGCAAACTTGATGAGGGTGCATTTCAATAGTCATCCACATCATTTATAAAGATATTGAATAGAATCAGACTTGACATCAACCTGTAAGGAACTCCACTCCTGACCATTTGTCAGTCTTACTTTGAGTCATTAACTACTACCCTTTGAGGTCAGCTCTTTAGCTAGCTTTCCACTCATCTTATGGTCCATCTGTCCAGCCCAAATTTTACCATCTTATCAAAAAGGATGTTCTGGGAGACTGTGTCAAATGCCTTGCTAAAATAAGGGTAGATGATGCCCACAGCTCTCCCCTCATCCACTGAGCAAGTTGCTTTGTTATAGAAGGCAATCAGCTTGGTCAAGCACAATTTACCCTTTGTGGGAGTAAATGTAATATTTACCAAGTCAGTCAGTGGCTTTGTAAAATTTGTAAAAACTTTTTTTTTTTTCCCTCTTGTAAAATTTGACTCTTGAGTTCTTCTTGGTCTTCAGGACAGGAAAATATTTGAGCTCTTGGAAGTTCCATAACGGACTGTGAACTCCTGCTCTGTGCCCAGCAGAGCTGTTGACCTTTTATTTAGTCCAGGTAGTACAATTGATTTTATTATCCTTTCTGACAAATTTTCCCATCCTTTTATGAAATGCCTTGATATTTTTCCAGTGCTGAATTCAGCTCACCAAGATCAATAGTAGAACTTTTTTATAAAGCCCAGGACATTTTAAAAATATATATTTTACTCTTTTATTGGTATAAATAATTCTTTTGTCCTTCCTTTTCATAGAAATGGCATGCATTTCTCTAGAATAGTAACTTTTGTATAAAAGAGTAAAATTTTCAGAGCCATTAATCTACTTCCCCAAAGCTTTCATTGTTACATGTCTTAGTTCCTTGCATATAGATGTTGCTGATCCTATCCTGCGTACAGATGACTTGATTGATACCTGTAGAATACTCATGCTCTGCTTGTTCTCGACTAGTGGAATGTAGATGTTCCAGTTCTGTGGTTGTATCTTGGATGTATGTTGGTTACAAGCAAAATCACAAATGTACAAACAACCTATATTATTGAATTATTTGTCTATGCCTAGTAGCAGGACTGCTTTCTTAACCTAATCTACTTTATTTGTACTTGGGGAGGAAATAACTTGTGCATGCTATGGCCTGTTGTTGAGTAAAGATTTTCCTTTACAATTAAGGGAGAGCAGCATATGTTCTGTACCTTGACTTTAAGAAGACTCTTGATACTTTCTCCCATCACATCCTCATAGAAAAGCCAGCAATGTGCCCTTGTGGCCAAGAAGGCCAATGGTATCCTGGTTTGCATTAAGCAGAACACTGCCAGAAGATCAAGGGAGGTGATCATGCCCTTCTACTCAGCCCTGGTGAGGCCACACCTGGAGTGCTGTGTCCAGTTCTGAGCTCACCAGTATGAGAGAGATGGAGCTACTGGAGTGAGTCCAGTGTAGGGCTAAAAAGATGATTAAGGGATTGGAGCATCTCTCATATGAGATAAGTCTGAGAGAGCAGATGCCATAGCTAAGCCGCTCTCCATCATCTTTGAAAGATCCTGGAGAACGGGGGAGGTGCCGGAAGACTGGAAGAAGGCCAATGTCACGCCAGTCTTCAGAAAAGGCAAGAAGGAGGACCCAGGCAACTACAGGCCAGTCAGCCTCACCTCCGTCCCCGGAAAAGTGATGGAACGGCTCATACTGGCCGTTGTCTCCAGGCACATGGAGGACAAGAAGGTGCTCAAGAGTAGTCAGCATGGATTCACCAAGGGAAAATCTTGCCTGACTAACCTGATAGCCTTCTATGATGAAACGACCGGCTGGATAGACAAGGGGAGAGTGGTGGATGTCGTCTATCTCGACTTCACCAAGGCTTTTGACACCGTCCCTCACAACATCCTCCTGGGCAAGCTCCAGAAGTGTGGGATAGATGAGTGGACAGTGAGATGGATTAGGAACTGGCTGGATGGCAGGGCCCAGAGAGTGGTGATCAGCGGTGCAGAGTCTAGTTGGAGGCCTGTGGCTAGTGGGGTCCCCCAGGGGTCAGTCCTTGGTCCAGTCCTGTTCAATTTATTCATCAATGACCTGGATGAAGGCACAGAGTGCTCCCTCAGCAAGTTTGCTGATGATACCAAACGGGGAGGAGTAGCTGATACCCCAGAGGGCTGCACTGCCATCCAGAGGGACATAAATAAATAAATAAATAAAAACAGTTTAAGCTTTTAGTTATAGTATGTCTCACTTTATGAGACATATTAATAGCCTCATAATGCAGGGATACAAATATATCTGATTTTAATATATATATTTTCTGGAATAGTCATGCTATCTTAATCTAACTAGGTAATAATAGAAATGAAAGCATGGCTTTTAAATGTGCTAAATGCTATAAGCTACTATAGTGCACATAAGAAATTTTAAAAATCCTTCAGTCACACTAAAATAAATTCTAAATTATTCTTTAAATTTACTTTTGAATATTACAAACTAAATAATTTAAATAGCATTTGTCTTTTTTCCCCGTTGTCTACACCATATTTGGTTTATCAACATTCTTATTAATTATATCTCCAGGCCTGTTCAACCTGGAGAAGAGAAGGCTGAGAGGGGATCTAATCAGTGTATATAAATACCTCAAGGGAGGGAGTGCAGAGGACGGTGATGGTCTCTTTTCAGTGGTGGCCACTGATAGGACTAGAGGAAATGGCCGGAAACTGAAACACCAAAAGTTCCAGAGGAACTTAAGGAAAAATTTCTTAACAGTGAGGGTGACAGAGCACTGGAACAGGCTGCCCAGAGAGGTTGTGGAGTCTCCTTCTCTGGAGATGTTCAAAACCCGCTTGGATGCAATCCTGTGCCACGTGCTCTAGGTGTCCCTGCGTATGCAGTGGGGTTGGACTAGATGATCTCTAGAGGTCCCTTCCAACCCTAAGCATTCTATGATTCTATGATTCTATGAGTTGGGCCTTTTCAGCCTGGAGAAGACTGAGGGGGGAATCTTATCAGATACAAATATTTTAAGGGAAGGTGTAAAGAGGATGGGGTCAGAATGTTTTCATTGGTGGTCAGTGATAGGATGAGAGGCAGCGGGCACAAACTGAAACACATGAAGTTCTTTCTGACCATAATCAAAAACTTCTTGACTGTGAGGGTGACTGAGCACTGAAAGAGGTTGCCCAGAGAAGTTGTGGAGTCTCCATCCTTGGAGACAGTCAAAACCTGATTGAATAGGGTCCTGGGAAACCTGTTCTAGGTGACCCTGCTTGAGCAGGGAAGTTGGACCAGATGATCTCCAGAGGTCCTTTTCAACCTCAACCATTCTGTGATTCTGAATTTTAAAAGGCTATGACATGTTAAAGTGCTTATGTTGTGAACAAAACATATATGCCTGCTTTGTCTTAACATACTATAAGTATCTAGTGTAGGAAGGGGTTTTCCATTTCATCACAGATATGTATTAGAATTCACCCAAATGTTTCAGTCAAAGCAGGGACTGAATTTCTTCAGAGATTATGCTTTTGGGGTGCCTTTTTCCCCTTTATCACTTTTGATAAACTGTTTTAGCGTGTCATCTTTTTATGATGTATATATGGTAGTCTTTTTGTAGGCACTGCTGAACTTTGAAGACGATTGTGCACAGAAGCAGAAGTCAAATTTTGCAGTTTATGGATAAGGCTTACAATTTATTTTAATTTTGTTAGTTGCTGAGATACGATAAGTGTGTCTGAAGTTCTCTATATTTGGCAAATTTATAGGGATGAGAAACAACTATTAGTATGGTCATAGATTAGAGCATCACCTTGCAAAATATGAGGTTCTGGATTCAAATCACTCTGCAACTTCCAAGTTCATTGCTTGAAGTAAACTCAGTAACACGATTGCACACATGTATAAGTTTTAAATTGTTATTGTCACTGAGTAGCAAGGGTCAGCTGTTTCCTAAGGGGTAGGAACAGAGGGGGATAGCATGACCAGCAGCCAGGACCTGATCTAACAGTACCTAAGCAAGGCAAATCTGGAGCTCATAGCCAGGTTCAGCTAAGAGTCTAGATCATCAGGCAAGTTTATGGTAATAAGGCAGTTTCAAACTAGGAAGTAAACCCATGGGTTGGGGTCTGGATCAACAGGGTCTATAGCCAAGAACAGGCTGAAGCTGAGCAAGAGAACAGTGTTTTTCTAACATAGCTCAGAGATTGAAGGCCTAGGGTTGAGTTTAAATGGAGCTCCTGGGTTCATGGGTGGGGGGAGGGGATTGGTGGAGAATTCAGGTGAGGTTGGTCAGAGCTGTTAAGGCCTATTAGTGCCTTCAGGCCCTGACAGATAACTTATGAAAGTGAAATGCTTCAGGCTAAAATTGCTATTTATTTATCTCTTTTTTTTCATGATGTTGTTTGTTCTACATGTATTTTAGTGTTTTTTAATATATGTCACCGAGTAGAAGAAAATCTGTTTTTCATATGCTTTAAATAGTGTTTCTCTTTAAAAAAACTTTTTATTAGGACTTTTTGACTTTTAAAAACAAGTTACCTTATTTCAGGGAATCCAACTGTACAGAGCTGTAAAAATCCTTTAAAATAGTCACCTTAGGCTTCCAGAATCACAGATTTAAATCCTGTTACCTCTTAGCACGTACTCCCCTGCCCATTTTTTCCCTTTCACTCTGAATGGACACAATTTAGCATTTTTTATAACAGCTATAAATGTACCACAGCTTTTCAGGGTCTCACTCAGATATAGATTTGGAGGAAACTTCCACTTTTTTAAGGGGAGCAAGAGAAAGTTCTGAGGTAGGATAACTTCCATGTTCCAAAAAATAGGGGGGAGGACAGGGAGAAGAAGAAACTGAGGTGTGTGTGTGTGTGTGTGTGGGGAGAGGTTATACATTGGACAAAGACCCATGCATAGATGAATTCAAAGATGAATTCTGTAGCTCTTGCCTCCCTATAGAAAGTTTAAGGGACTTTGCATTCCTATAACTGTCCTTGGACATGACATTACTCTCTTTGCCAAAGAAAAGAGCCTGTTGGCTCAGATTCATACCTCTGTGAGATGTGTCAATGCACAGAAGTCCCCTACCCTTCATGTTTACCCTCTAAGAGTCAGGCCTGGGATTTTTTTGTTTGTTTGTTTTAAGATTTCATTAATGACGACCTGCATGAGGAAGGTCAAACTCTTCATTTAATCCATAGTCCATAAGGGATATTACTAAATTTCAGTATTCTGAAAAGGCCAGTTGAGTAATAAAAGCTGTAGTGATAACCTTCTGATAACCCTCTGGTGAAAGGTCAAATTTCAGATTTCCCCTGCATGCACAGCTCCAAGAACCTCAGTGAGTAAGTGTTATACATATCAGGATTCTGGCTCTGTAGAAAGACTGAAATTAATTGTCCTGTCTCATTAAGTGGGTGTTTTGCATGAGACGAAGGAAGTAGAGAGTTTCATAACTCAGAGTGATCCTTTTCAGTACATGCTTGTAGCATAATTTGATTTGTGGGATACATGAAATATATGTGTGAATTTTAAATCTTAACTCTTAAAAAGCTGAGGGTGTACTGAAAGTTTCTGCCACTGGCTGAACTCTGCACAACCACCTTCAAGAGAAGAAAGGTTGTGCCCTACACAACCTCTCGTTTCCCTAATGAATAGCTTTAAACATGATGATGAGGATACTAGCTCTGATTATCAGGAGCTGAGAGAGTGAGTTATTGGGAATGTCCCAACATACTCCCTGTTCACAGTTCAAGCACCTGTTACTGGCTGCTGTCAGGTATTGTACCAGAATGGACTTTTGGTCTGAGTGATTTACTGCTGCTTTTATATTCTTAGGCTCTGCTACTCTAACTCACAGATGAATTCTTATCTGCCCTAAATCTCTTCTTCCCATCCTGTTCATCTAATGAGTGGTTACATTTATAAGGACTCCTACGTTTGTAGCTTTGTTGGATTAACCCTATTTGTATAGAAAGGGAATTTACTTGTGTTTCTTCATTGGTCCAGTTTTAGTGCATGGTGACTTGTAGAAGGATTGCATACACAAATAACAGATTGTGTTTCTTGCATAGGTGGTATGTTCCAAGCTGTTGACACATTTCCTGATGGTTTTTATTTCTTAAAACTTAATAAATGTTCCCCTCTCCCTACAGAAGAGCGAGTTGTTCCCATTGAAGTCTGCTGTTCCAAACTGTCAAAATACTTGCATGGAGTTATTTTCCGCTGTGATAAGTGTACCTTTACCTGCTCCAGTGATGAGAGCTTGCAGCAGCACATAGAGAAGCACAATGAACTGAAACCTTACAAATGCCAACTCTGCTACTATGAGACCAAACACACAGAGGAGCTGGATGCTCATCTTCGAGATGAGCACAAGGTAACATCCAAAGGGATTTAATTTGGAGCAATCTAATTCTTGCAATTGCTATATCTAGTTTACTTGCACGTCAGCTCTGATTAGCCAACTTGGGTTTTTTTTTTTTGTTTTCTTCCAAAATTTGTAAAAGGCTCCTGTGCTGCACTTTAATTTATCTGAGGTTCTATATTTTTCAGAAATTCAAGATTGTGAGTTTCTAAAGCTGTTGATTTGGCTGGCTATTCAATGTAGGGTACAATTATCTGAAAAAGGCTTTTGTAGATATTGTGTTTTTTTTCTAAGCTACGAAACAACATTAAGGCTTTGTGATTCGTCCTCCCTAAAACGTAGGAGATTCAAAAGCATAAGATTGCTCTTGCAACTTGGGCAAAGTGACGTACTATGCATATTTTAATAAAACAGGGTAATGTATTCCAGTTTACATTTAAAAAGGGAAAGACTGGAGCTTGTTATACTTAGTGCTTAATTTAAGACTTCTTTGGTCTTCGTGTGCAACTTCCTGAGTGGAGACCTGATTTATACTTGGAGAAGTCACTAGAAAAACGTTACACAGACTTCTGTCAGCTTTGGATTCATAGAAACATAGAATCATAGAATGCTTAAGGTTGGAAGGGACCTCTAGAGATCATCTAGTCCAACCCCCCTGCACACGCAGGGACACCTAGAGCACGTGGCACAGGACTGCGTCCAAGCGGGTTTTGAAGATCTCCAGAGAAGGAGACTCCACAACCTCTCTGGGCAGCCTGTTCCAGTGCTCTGTCACCCTCACTGTTAAATTTTTTTTCCTTAAGGTAATGCGAAACATTTGGTGCTTCAGTTTGTGGCCATTACCTCTAGTTCTGTTGGTGGCCACCACTGAAAAGAGGCCAGCACCATCATCCTCACTGCCTCCCTTGAGGTACTTATATACACTGATTAGATCCCCTCTCAGCCTTCTCTTCTCCAAGCTGAACAGGCCCAGCTCCCTCAGCCTCTCCTCATAGGGCAGATGTTCCAGGCCCCTGATCATCCTTGTAGCCCTGCGCTGGACTCTCTCCAGCAGCTCCACATCCCTCTTGTACGGTGGAGCCCAGAACTGGACACA